TAAAAATTTAGTAGAAAGTTAGTATATAAAGAATTTATGATGTTAATTATATACTTATTGTTGATGATAAATATATTAGATATAAATATTATCACTTAATCATAAAATAATTTATAAAATTTTGTGAAGATAGACAAAAATAAAAATTACATATTTATATGAAAAAAGTTTCATTATTTTAAAATATGTGTATCAAATTTTAATTATAATCTTTCAAAATTTAAAAAATAAATAATTATTCCATGATACCCTTAACCGATATAACATGCAATATGTATACATATAATAACAGCATTGAATTGAATAAAATAATTGCACATTTTAAAAATGTAGAAATTCTACAATAAAAAGGCATCCCAACAAATAAGCCAATAAAACAAAACTCTCTATATACTTTATAAAACCTTTCAGTCTTATATTAACTGAAAGCTTTTACAAATTCAAGTTATAGTATATAAATATAAAATTTCTTTTATACATATCAAATGATATTTGTATAATCAGTTTAAAGAAAATTTTATATAACAGAAACAACATAAAGACAGAATGAAAGAATATAAACATAATACATAGCCTTACCAATAACACCATTCCAACTAATAGCATAAACTAAAAGTCTACTATCGCACTACATCGAGTCTTGTAAGAGGTATAAGACGTCACCTGAACAGATTTTCTTAAGGTGGCGAGTGGTGGGCCAGTGAACTGTGTATTCAGCCTACTTACAGCCGGCACTGAGGCTAAGCGATAGGTAGTGCCTGGAGATGGTGCAGCAACCACTGCATTTCCTGCTATACTATTTGGTGTAACTGCAGTACCAGGTGTACCTGCTGTTGGAGGTGGCCCTACCCTCAATAATTGATATTGCCCACTTTCTGTTTTTAATAATATATGACCCTGAGTTCCAGGTTGGAGACCATGTAACGTTTGTAATGTTATCTAAAAATTTTAAAAATAAAATTTTGCTAAAATATATTAAAGTATTCAATAGCATATTAAACAAAAATAAATATTTATAAATAAATAAATATTTATAAAAAATATATTTTATATAATATATTATATTCTTAAAACAAAATAACAAAACCAATAAACATAATGTATACAAATTAATGGAATAACCATGACCTTCAAAAGTACATGTACTGTTTATCAACTACAAATATCTTACCCCTGGAGCTCCAGGTCTTGTTCCAAGCATATGTTGACCAATCACTACTCTAGGTGCAACTTGTTTTCCTGTTTGTTGCCCTGTCACTGGTGTGCCAGGACGCATTGTATTAACATTAAGAATTTGCACATTGCTAGGTACTATTGTAGATGTAACTCCAGCTTTACCCTGTAGTGCTGTGCTGACTGCATTGCCAGCCACAGAAACAGGAACAGACATTGGAACCGAAACCATGCCACTGGGTGCTACACTAGTTTTTATCACCAAAGCTGTACCTGTCTGCTTATTTACACTAGCAACTGTTTGACTGCCTGTTTCACTGACAGAACCAACATTAGAAACATTTGATGTTGTCTGTAACACTGCCTGCGACGTTATTCCTAAAGTACCATTGGCTAGTTGTCCAACAGTTTGTGCAGGAAAAGAAAGTTTGTTATTTGCATTTGCTACCCCTGTGGTTGCTATTACTTGACCAACAGTTGGATAGATAATCTTGACAGGCTCATGTGTTTTAGTAAGGCTTGGTATATTTGTTGTTTGATTACTGGTCACCTGATTCGTAGTAACTTGATTAATATAAGCAGCAGGGGGGACTGCTGACTGTGTATGCTGTTGCTGTTGTGTAGTAACTTGTGGCGCCACTGTGTTTGAGGTAACCACATTAACAGGGAGGAGAGTACTCGTAGTAATGGACTTTGTAACTTCTTGATTCATCAGACTATTTACTGTAGTAGCACCGCCGCCGTTTGAAACCCTGTGGATGCACATGTTCGAGGAGGGGTTAAGTACACTATTTCTGATGAGACTTGCGATGATTTAATTATGATTATAATTTATTAAATAGTCTGTACAAAGAATTAACTCTAATAATAAATTAGTAGCTGACCGTATAGACGCGAATATGTATAAGCTGCGGCGCGTGAAAAGGGAATGAAGGCACGTGGACAATCGACGAGAGCAAACGAGAATCTGGAAGAATCTAGAAGAAAGCGCGCGCAATCAGCGTCTGCAAAGTGGCGCCGTTCACCGGCTGTTTGCAAAGGTGGTTGAGGAGCCGCCATCCACTCCCCCCAAGGTTTTGGAGGGGTTTCACGAAGATTTGACTTTTATACGATGTGAGCGGAATCAGAAGGAGGAGAGAGAGCAAAGAAGGCGGGAAAAGGAAGATCGTCTCGTTCAGGGCCTGCCAGCGAACTCGTCAGTAAGTTTACTGGCAGGTCCGTACCTTAGACCCCTTGGCAGGGGGGTGTTTTGACGGCCCTTCCTATCCTCGCCACCAGAGGGACAAGCATACGAGCATTTTCTCGCGAGTGCTCGCCGCCTTCAACCCGCACGCCACAGCACCACAACCCCATGTTTCTGTGACTGTACCGCGGTGATGGTGTCTCCATTGGAAATACCACTGTTCACCTAATGATTCTGCTGACTGATTGACGCAGAACTTACTTGATAACCGGCGTCGATGTTACCAGTTGGGTTTCAAGGGAGCCTACTATCGCGTTCACTGCGGATTCATCGACGTCCGTGCTCAGAGCTTCCTCCAGAAACTTAGCTGACGCCATTTTCTTCCAAGCTCCAACTGTAAACTGATCTGCGCATGCGCCTGTCACAAATTGTTCCCATGGTGCATTGCCCCTCCTAGCACAACTGAAAATTATACGCGGCTTTTCTTGTTTACTATCTGCTAATATTTAAATTCATAAATGTTTTTTCACCATTATAAAAAAATTGTAATAATCTTTTTTTAAATTCGGACACAAATTTTTCGCTTTTTATATATCAGAAAAGCATTTATGACCATATTACATGTATCATAAATTTATGTAATATGGTTGTCAATACTCTACATAAAAACACATCAATCAAAATAGTTATTTTTAAAACTTGAAATTCATATATAATATGCTCTTTTAATATCAAAATAATATTGACATATAAATCGAAAAATTATAAACATGTATACTTTAAATATAACTCATGATGTTAAACTTGGCAATACTGTTTTGCTAGTAACAAGAGTCTTATTATAACATTAGAACGAAAACTAAACTAGAAGACGAAGTTCAATTAATTGTTTTTAATTAATTGATCTAATACACAATCTTCTTGAAACTCATTTATAAATAATACGTAAATATTATAATTGTAGTAAATAAAAATAACATGTAAATATTCAAAGTGATAAAAAAAGTGTACAAACTTTGATTTAAGGTTATATACTTATTTTAAAGCATTTATAATTAAAAAAATATTAATATAAAATAAATCTAAGACATTTTTTAAACAAATATATAAAATTAAAAAATGCATAATTAAGTATAAAAATCAATAAAAATTAAAAAAGAAAATAAGATTTCTAAATGAAAGAATTAGATGAATATATAAAATGAATAGTTAATAATACTTAATAATAAAAAAAAATCATTAAATCAATTATAAACATTAAGCATGTTAAAAGATAAAATTATAATTTAATCATAAATAAATATAGTGATTTTAATGTAAAAAAGCTACATAATACTACTATTTATAAATAAAAAAATTTTAATAATTATTATAAATATATTAGAAAATATTAATTAAAAAATACTAAATTATAATCGTTTTATTATATTTACCTATGCATTTTGATATTTATGCATCATGATACATATTACTATAAGCACATTTCATAAAATTACAGAAAACCGCGAAAATTTAAAAGAGAAAAATTCCCTACTGTACCTAAAATTACATAAAACTATATATGTCAAAGCGACTTAAGCACACCACACAAAAATTAATGGTACTAATATCTTCATAATCTATGCACGAATCATGTACTTATATATGAAAGCTTGTGTCGCCATCGTATTGCATTGCACGTCATCAGTTCCTACCATCGACTCCAACTTATTTTCTTTTACGTCATTACATTCTTTATAACATTTTTTAACAACTAATCTAAAATTAATAATTTTTAATAAATTGATTGATTATATTAAAATGTGAATTTAGATATTATTGTCGAATTTACTTTCACTTCATTTTATATTTAAAAGCAGATGTGTAAAAATTTTCAATACTGTGAGTACAATTATTTCATTTTAAAATATTGTTAATAATAATAATTTCTTTAAACGATATGTGTTCCAATCTATCAATTTTCAAACACTTAAATTTTTTTTATATTCACAAATTTTTTTATCGAAATATATCAATACTAAAAATAAGACTTAATGATTTATAAGATAAGATTTAGCGTCCTCTAACCATAAAAATTGAATTGTTTTTTTGTTAATGTAATTACAGAAAATGATATAATAGTATTATAATAGAATCTACAATATCTGCAATTTCGTACAATATTATAATATATCTACAATATCGTATTATAATAGAATCTACAATATCTATGTATTATTTATTTAATGTAATGAATTATAAAATAAGTCTTTTAAGAATGAATATTTAATATATATACAACAATATTTAGAATAAAAAATTTTATATTATATTTTTTATATATTTTTTAGATAATTCTTTATTTTACAATATATATATTATTTTTTCTATTATTATATAAAATTATTTACATAAAAAAATATATATCACATTTACAATTAAAAATATAAAACTTTTATATATATTCATTCAACTAATTTTTTAAAACAATTTCTGTATCAATATGTTTATGTATCAATATGTTTAATAATAATAATAATTTAATATCAAATATATTTAAACATATATCATTTATAATTAAATTATATAAAATGTCACATTTTAAATTATATATTAATAAACAATATTTTTATCATTACACAGTAAAATTATACAAACAAATAAATATCCATCGGAATTTTTATGAAAAAATAATAAATTCGAGATATCATTGATACAAAAAAAATAATTTTTTTTATGGTTCTTTTGACCAGTGAGGCCAAGTTTGAATAACACTATATAATGCATCACCTGGACTTACAGTTCGAGAAACTTGACGATGTCCTAATAATTTATAATCCGGCGCAATTTTCCCTTTTTCTACTCCTAATTCAATAAGTTTTTGCACAGCGTATAACTGTTGTTTAGGTGGTTTTACCGTGTTGAATGTTCCAATAAAAGAAATACCTATACTTATGTTATTATATCCAAATGCATGAGCACCCATATAATCCCAACTGCGACCAACATATACATATCCGTCACCACCAACAAGAAAATTGTAACCGATATCTGACCAGTTTCTAGATTCAATATGAAACGTTTGTGCAAATCGAACATGAAATGTACAATCCGATTGTGTGTTACAAAATTGTGTTGCTGTATGACTTATAATCACATACGGTACCGGAAGTTTCATCTTTATTAATGGTGTTGTAGGTGGTTGAGCACCCCATTCATTTCGTTCAATGAAACGGATATTTTTTATCTTATCTGCAATTTAATTATTATAATTTAATTAGTTTATTATTAACTAATTATTTAGTTAAATTGATTTATAATATGATGATTGAAAGAATTATAAATATTACCTCCGAATAAAGAATCTGGTATTTCCGGAAAAACTATGGCTGGCGGAATAGCAGAATTGCGTGTGAAATATATACTGGTGATGACCATAACAATTACAAGAATTAAAGCTAGAATACACAAAAACGCTGCATATCGCCAGGTCCGCAACCATTTTGTTACTAAAATAATATAAAAGTATTAAAAAAGAAATAGTATATTAATAATATGTTATTTATTAATATAAATAATTTTGATTTTCTTTTAAATATTTTAATCTTTTCTTAAAAAATGTATGTAATGTATTTCGTAAATTTTATAATTATAATAATTAAATAATTATAATTATTTTTTTTATAAAATTCACAGCATGCAATATCTAAATAATCTATGCCAATATAAGGGTAATGTTAAATAAAATAAAAAAAATTGCATATCAATTAATATAAAAATACATATGTATATATTAATCTTAAATAAGATTGAAATTATTATAAGTACATACTTTTTATTTAGGTATATAAATAATTACAAAAATTAGACATTATTATTATTTTATTATTAATATAAAAAATATTATATTTTTAAAATGATATGAAAATAAAATAGTTTTGATCTAATTTACACGAATCATTACATATCACATTAACCTTTTATTGACTTTAATATTAATATCGCAGATTTTTTTCAAAATAAAATATAATTTACTTCAACAGAATTAGAAAAAATTTAAATTATTATTTGATGATTTCAAATTTATTTAAAATAAAATATTCGAATTCTATATTTTTTGCTTATTTTTATGAAAACGAGCTGCATTTTCTGTTAATTTCCGATAATGATCATTTTCGAAACTTTTACTTCTATTTTTAAAAATAATCTTCATAAAAATATTCTTTAATAATTTAGATTAATTATAATTTAAAATTAAAACATTACAAACCAATAGAATATTATAGATAAAATAAAAAACTTATATATATTTAAAATAAAAGTATTTGAGATACTTAACTATTTATAAATAATTTTCAAAATATGAAAAAATAATCAGTACATTCAAAAAATATCTATCTTATAATTCCATCGTAAAAATGAAAAAGATTGCATATATATATATACACACACAATGCAATCTAGGTATATGCTAAAATAATGTTGTATCTGTATAAAATATCTACATAAATTTAATTCAGAAAATAGTTAAAAAGTTATATTATATTATGCAAATAAAACCTAACGGATTTTACCTCCATTATAAAACGTTTTTACGAATCTCCATAAAAACATCATCAAGAGTTCTAAAAAAAATATCGTTACCGAGATCAGGATTTTGTGATAAAATTGAGTTCTTCGCAGTCGAATCTCCTTTAGCAATTGACAAGTTAGATGTGTTGGTATCCGATCCTATAACATTATCGCTCTTCACCGTATCAAAGTCCTGTATTGAAGTCGGGTTCGTATAAACGAACTGTTTTATTGTCACTGGACCCTTATAAAAGGTCTTATTACCAAGATGCACATTAGTCGAATTCTTTACGTGCACATTTCCAAAATTTGAAATATCTGCATTAGGTAACATCACATTACCATCTGCGGTTGTCATTTCTTGATGTTGTTGAAATACCGGTACAGGTAAGTCAGGTATCCAATCTCCTTCTTCGATATCCGTTTCATTGTCATTATCATCTTCTACGTTACTGCACTGCGTAGACGAATCGGCAATGCTATCATTTTCAATAACGCTGACCGCGCTATCTTTGACAGAGTGCACTATCTCGCTCCGACAGTTTTCAATGTTACAATCTTCAATGGAGATATTACTTATTTTATCCTGGTTCTCGTCTGATAATGTTCGCTGATGTTGTTGCACCGATGTCACCATACCAACGCACTGTAGGAAAAAATTTGTTTATCTATCATGTTATAATAATATATATACATCATACATATATATTTAAATTATTATTAATTATTATTTACGAATTCATGTAATAATTCATAAAAAACAAAAACAATTTAATATATTATAATATATAATATATTATTATAACATACTGATAAAAAAAATATATAATAAATATAATATAATATTTGATAGAGAAAAAATATTTCTTTAATTACATTCATAAGATTTCATTGATGAGAAATCTAATTTTGAAAGTTAAATAATGACATTAGTGATAAACATATAAATATTTCTTAATATATATTGCAATTTATATTAATATGTGATGTGATCTAAATGATGTTTCTCATTAACAGTATAACGTACGCTTAAAATATAAATATAATTAAATATATTGTAATCCAGAACATTAAGTATATCGTTTCACAAATTTCGCATTTATTTTATAAATGATTAAGCGAATATTTTATTTTATACAAAAAATATAATAAAATAAATAATATTTAGAAGATTTTTTGATTATTTAGTAAAAAATTAGAGAATTCATTATCGTATTTTAGAAATAATCGTATTTTACATTTCAAAAATCATAAATTTAAAATTAATTTTCACATCATTAAGGTATTTTTAATTCTAATTGCAAATTAACAAACAACATAAATTTTTTTACATCTATTCGTATCTTTTTCTCTCTATTTAAAAAATTTGATAACAAAACAAATTGATTATATTTCATTATGTTTTATTTAAGTAATTTATCATTTTACTTGTGCTATTAATCGCATTATTAGAATAAAGATCAAATATAATAAAATTTACGTCATGAAAAGTCAAATGTGAGAAATTAAAAAAATTCAAATCTGACAAGAAAAATATTTATAAGAAGACTATAATCAAAAAAATAATAAAATATTTAATAATAACAATATTAAAAGTATGAAAATACAATGAAATAAATTTTGATTTTAAATTTTGATTTTCAACATATATCAAGTAAATCAGAAAAAAATTATCTCACAAATTATTATTTCCGTTACCTGCAATCACTTTCTCAATGCTTTTGATCACCATTAATTTATAACATGGCGTCTTTATGAATGAATTTTCCTTGTCACTACTCCGAAAAATAATATCGATAAAGAAAATTCTTCCAAAATTTTTTAATTCTGAAATTGTTTATACATATTACTCATTATACTGCTGCTATATTACTCATTACATTATACTTACTAGAATATACGATGCGCAAATTTTATGACTTTGAAAGTTTGTTCACAAAATATACGTTTCATATTTCATGATTCTATCACACTACACAGTACGAACACTACCACAGATACTAATGCCGGTGACACTATGTGCCATTAAAGTTCGCAATTGAAACTTCGATCCATAAAAGCATATAACACAAAAAAATATACGAAGCGTTACTGTGCATCACAAGCATAGGTAAACAAATCGGAAATGTTAAATATCAGTTAGTTCACTCGAAATCTTCGCTTCGTCTTTTGTCGTTTTATAATTCTACGTCATTGCTTTATGACGTATAACGAGTTTTACGAAGGACGCGGCTGTCGCTACATGCACGATTGAAGGAGAAAAATTTCAAAGCTCGGTACGTCACTAGCATTGAAAAATTAAAAAAATAAAAAAAGAGTGTTTAAAATTTCAAGCATAGTAGATACGAATTGGCAAAACTTTTTTGTTTTATAGCACTGTGTGATAAGAAGAACAATAATCAATAAAAAATAAAAGAACTTAAAGAAACAGAATTTTTCAATGTCGTTATCTGTCTGTGATTTGTCGTCATGACGAACTGTTGATGATTTGTTGAGTAAGCCGCTAAATTGTATCCAACCCCACTCTTCAAAATCTTATTTTCATCACATACAACTAGAAATTTTACGTGCATTTGTATATTTAATAATCGTATTATAATTTCATTGTAACTGTTGGTTGCAGAGTTCAAGTGTACAACTTGTTCATAATATTTTTTCGTTAAATTATACACGATATGATAATGATAATTCGTCGCATTGCAATAATTATTTATCATTTCATATATTTTTTTTTTTTGCATGATAGTAATACTCTATATTAGATTTATAAATAGATAAATTTCCATATTATATTAAAAATTTCCATTTGAATTTTTATTTTTTTATAAATTAATACACAAATTATTTTTTAAAATTTTATATTAAATATTATATATTCGTTTTATGTTTAATTTTCATATTTTGTTTATCAATATTATTAATAATTATAGCAATTTATAAAAGACATTCAGTTTTGTTAAAATTTATTTGTAGAAATGCATATATTTTTTAAAAAACATTTAATTTTTCTAATAAAATTTAAATAATTATGTAATAATAATTTGTGAAAAATAATTGAAAATGATAGAATTTTGTTAAGTTTAAAATATTTAGTAAGTTATTATTAGAAAGAAAAATAATTAAAGAATATGTTATTACTTAAAAAATAAAATACGTAATATTTTATTATGGATCTTTTTCCGATCAATAGCATTTTCATCAATTTTTAATATGATCTTGCATTCATTAAACTATTCATTAAAAACTAATTTTATAATTCATAAAAAAAAATTATAAAATATTTTTTTATTTTAAGTTACATATATTATTTTTATTGATTTTCTTTCAAAGATAAATTCAATTATGTTTTAAGAATACTCGCGATAAAATTGTTTTCAAAACATTTTTTTAAAAAAATTATATTCAATAAAAATAATTGATGCAAAAATTAAAATTAATAAAATATTTTTGTTTGTGTTTTTAATAATTAATACGTTTGTAATTGTTATAATAATTCATAATTTTTTTCCTATTTTTAATAATTTTATCACATGTTATATGATTTCGTAATAATTTATTAAATTATTTACAAAAATTATTACTTTAATTGGTCATGTAACAATCATATTAATATAATTTTAATTCTAATAATTAATTTTAATTTTATTCTATAATTTTATTCTAAAATTTGTTATTTTTCTTTTTGCAATGAAGTCATAAACATGGCACAAATGAAATATATAATGTTCTTTTTATTATTACAACACTTCCTCTTTAAGATTAATTAAATAAATAATAATAAATAAATAATCTTTATAATGATTAATTAAACTTAACGAAATTAACCTTATACCATTGGGGGTTTTTATGTTTTCAACAATTTATTTTCGTTATTATATCATAAAATAATTATAATACTTAAACATTTAATTTTATAATTATTAAATGAGATATTCAAAGACATATCAATGAATTTTAAACTTTTATAATATTCGTTTATCTTTGTAAATTAACATTACGATATAGGGATATCAAAAAAGATTTTTTTATATCTATTAACATTACCAACTTTAATGGTTAGATTAAATATAGTTCCTAAAATTGCCACTCTATATTTTAAAGGTTATGACAATCTCTCAATCTTTTTCATAATTGGTATTTTAGAATATAGAATATGAAATTCACTTACTGCTCTATTCTGTATATTGTTTGTGATAAATTTTTATAACTTCTCGAATATATTATTGTTTAAATAAATAGTTTTATAGTAAAGAGATTCTTATTATTAAAACAAAATATGAATATTTAAATGTACTAATCTTTGTAATATATTTGGAAATATAAATTATTTTAATCAAATTACGTGTTTTTGTGCATTAATTATATGCACATCCAATTAAAAGAGCAAAAATATATATAATAATATAATAAATTAATAAATAAAATTATATTTTAATAATGCTTACAATACAATTTGGGCAATGTGGAAATCAATTAGGGCATACATTATTCTCAGAAATATCAACTGATATGGAGTGTGTAAATACAGGTGTATCATATAAAACTAATCATCAATATATAGAAGATACATTTAATAGGTGGTTTAGTGGTTTATCTAAAAGTAATGACCGTTTAGCAAGAGCAATTCTTATAGATACAGAACAAAAAGTCATAAATAAAATTTATAATAAGAAAAGTAATTTATGGACATATTCAACAAAAAATGTAATTTGTCAAGCTGGAGGAGGTTGTGCAAATAATTGGGCATTTGGTTATTTAATAAAAGGTTATGAATTAAGTGATGTGATATTAAATTGTGTAAGGCAAGAAATAGAAAAATTAGATCATTTTGATGGATTTCTTTTATTATTAAGTTCTGCAGGTGGAACAGGATCTGGTATTGGAAGTTATATTACAAAATTATTACATGAAGAATATAATAAAAAACCAATTCTTAATACAACAATATTACCATTTTCATTTGGTGAAGTATGTACACAAAACTATAATACATTATTAACTTTAGCAAAACTTTACAATGAAAGTGATATAAATATTTTATTTGAAAATGAACAAATATATAATATATGTACTAGTTTATTAAAAAAATCATCTATAAATCTACAAGATATGAATAAAGTTATTTCAGAAAAATTATTAGCTACATTTCAACCAGTAAATTATGAAAAACATAACATAAATTCATTATTATCTCAAATAGCATGTCATCCTTCATATAAAATAGCAATAATAAAAAGTACTCCACATATACCAGCAACATCTACAAGCTATGAACCAATGTATAATTGGAATTCATATATTCATCATTTAAAGCAAACACTTAGAATACCAAATTTAAATTCACAGTTAACTAATGTTGAATTAAAAATGCCATCTAATTTATTAAGTAATACCATACATCATACATATGCTACTTCAGTATCAAATGTTTTAATAACACGTGGAACAATGTTAGAACAAGATCTTATAATGACAAATATACTTAAAGAAAAACATTTATATGCAAACTGGAATACAATTGATTGGTTTACTCATTTACATCAAAATCGAAAATTTTTAAATCATGATAAATTTCTTGCTTTAATAACCAATAATTCTCAAACTTCTTATTCTTTAGATATATTTTTAAATAAAACTTGGAAATCTTATATTCATTCTGCATTTTTACATCAATATAAACAATTTGGTTTAGAAGAAGATGATTTTCTACAAGCATTTTCAGTGCTTGAAAATGTTGTAAAAGAATATAAAGAATTGGTCTCTCATACAGATTAATAATAAATTATAATTAAATTAAATTTTTTATTTTTTAACTCTATAATAAAAAGAATAGTTTTATGATTTTGTAAAATAATGAAAAAACATTAATTAAAATAATAATATTGCATATTTGAAAATTAAAAGCATAAATGAAAGAATAACTATGACGTCATAAGAAAATCGATCAATTTACGATATTATATAATATATATATATATATGCAATGATAAAAAAAATACAATAAGAAGAAAAAAATTTAGTACAAAAAAAATAAGATAATAGACGAAAAATGATTTTTAATTAATTTAGAAAAAGAATAATAAAATAGAATGTCTTTAGTGGTAATATACATCCCTTCTCTATGAAAAAGTACATTTTGCGCTTGTGCAAAGAGACAGCCAAATTCGATGAATATAATGAAGAACGAAAAAATCTTAGTTGTTTCTAAGAAAATACTTCCAAGAACTAATAATTATTCTTCTGTCTTCTTTTTCCGAAAATCAAAAAGTTAAATTTCTTCGAAATATTTTTAAATATAGTAATATACAGTATTATTTTTGAAATTATAATTAAATAATAATATTAATAAAATTATAATTATTAATTATATTAAATAAAATTATATTAAATAATCAATGTATTGCGTTTTCATTGTTTAATATGATTTTTGAAATAATAAATAAATAAAAATAAAATTATAAATACAAACAATTAGAAAAATTTATATATATATATGTTTATGTAAGTCTATTTACATATATTATATAAACAAATTCAAATATTTTTTATAATTTTATATCAGTAAGAAAATTTTTAAATAAAATAAAATGTTCTATTATGGTTAAGATATTTCAAGATTTTAGTTTTAAACATATTATCTAAAGATAAAAAAAAAAAGAAAAAATATATCAGTAGAGAATACTATATAAACAACGATATCCACATCGTTTTCTAGCATCGGTCAAGCGTTACAGATACAGCTACAATTGTTTAAAATTTGTTTGCTGTACCTTCCACTGCATATTTTAATTTGAATATCTTAAAATTAAATATACATATAAATATATTGATTTTTCAAATTTGATATAGTATATGATATTTAAATTTATATATATATATTAAAAACAAATTTCTGATTATAAATTCATTCTTTATATTTTAAAATATATATAATCAACATATATATCAATATATATGTAATTAACATAAAATTAATCAACATATTTATATTTTTTCAATAATAAAAAAATAGTATTCTTAATAAGTTAGCAATTTTTCATAATATGGGATTGAAAGAAATAACATGTATAAAAGTAGCGCCATCTAATAGCTATACAGAATTGCAATTCTATTTTTCTATAAATATATTAATTGGTATAAATTTACTTGTATATAATATATTAATATCTATGTTGTATTTACATTTTTAATTAAATGTTTTAATAATTTAAGAATTAAATTATTTAATTAAATCAAAGATATAATAAAAAACAAGATATCAAAATATATTATTTAATATATATATATATATATTTTAAAATATGTTCTATTAAAAGAAATTTTCTTAAGTATATTCATTCCTGTAAATCTGTGTACAATACATCACACAATAGTATTTGTATACGAGACTCGAATACCAAGAGGCGTGGTTTGAATAGACGAACCTGTTCATCTATCTACTTATTTTGTTTCCTTCTGCTAGATATAGAATAATCGTCCTTATACATTTGTAGGCAGGCGCACTCTGGTGTCGAAGCCATGGACGATGCTACGCGCCATTTTGTTTAGTGTCCGCTGGACGCGTCGTGCGTCAGGGTGTTGTGGGGTTGTTTTCATGACCGTCAACGGGAATAAATTCGCGGCTCTCTGAGCTCGCTTGCACTTTAAAACGTATATAATAGTGATACTATTTAAACAGTGAAATACGTATACGTATATTTTTGCATGATTATTGTGACATACAATACAAAGATACATTTCTTGAGAGAGTTGAAAACTCTCATGCTTATAGTGTTAGATTCAGACTTGCAAAAACTTTGCAAATGCATGGCGCCAGATACAACTTTATGGATACTTCGTAAGAAATTGCGACTGTCGCCGTCATCGTCGACAGATATTTTTTATAAAGGTGAGAGAAGAGGGGTTGTCTGAATTTAATCGATAAAGTGTCTCCCATACTCTTCCTCTTCCCCATTTTCAAATATAAAACTTTTTATTTTATCTTTATTCGAATATCCGATGCTTCATGCTTCGACGAGTTTTTCGTACCAAATGTCGTGCGCCCTAACCACGATATAGTGTCTCGCTTGTGCAAGTCTCTCGAGGAAAGTGAAAGCTTACGTTCCCGATCGTTCTGCATTGAACGCGGATCTCATTCTGTCCGCAGTGGTGCACGTTTCGTGCGTCTTTTTCAAAGATTATAGCGTCACTTGGCTCAAACTGTCCATATTTTGAAACATAATTTTATTGAATGAAAAAAAACAAGAAATACCTATAAAAAATAAATAGTCAAAACTGAAACAAGTTTTTTAAATTAATTCATACATATTGAAATAGAAAATTTTTTATTGTCAATATTAAATGTTAAATAAAATTCAAAATAATAAAATGAAATTCCAAATTTTTCAAAACCAGTAAAATAATAAAATTGAGTACTGGTATGCAGAATAAAAAATATCTAATTTATGTAAAAAATTTTATATTTATAAAATATTATAATTTAAAAAAAAAATTTTTTTTCCTCAATAATTCATATGCAATTTTTGTATTTATGAGTTAAATGTAAAATATAATATCAAATAAGTATATTTTTAATACAAAATACATAAGAAATTAATAGAAATTTATCATTGAATTGTTCTGACATATTATACTATAGAAGTTAATATATTATACTACAAAATATATATTATATTACAATAAATGAATTCTTTATATTTTGAATTTCATTTCACATTTATTTAAAAAAAAATAGTATTAATTTTTTTAGTATATGTAAAATAATAAATATAATTTATTTAAATTTATATTAAGATAATATGTATACTGATTCTATCACTGATTCTATGTAGCATCGCGATCACTCAATTTATCGGGTGATTTCAACGCTAGGATGTGCAGTAAAACTTACATTTTATTCTAATGAACATTAAATATGTATATATGCACATAATAAATATATTAAATTTTTTTTACAAATACTTACAATACTTAATTTTTTGATAAAAATGATGCAAATACAATAAATATAATAAATTTAAATTATTATATTAATTTAAAATCTATCTTAATAAATCTTAATAAATTATTAGATTTAATTATTAGATCAAAAAGTCTTTAATTAGATTATACAATAATTATTAATTTTTTTATTTTATTATTGAATTTAGAAGAAAAGTTTAATTATTCTTATAATAAATTTCTGTCATTGAAATCATTGAAATTAATATTGTTACTATTTCGTTCATACTTTTATTGCTTATTTTATTGTAATAAATTCTTGTTTTTCAAACGACAGCGAAACTGAAATTTCTTCTATCATCTAACTCTCATTGCATCTCAAGGGAGATTTAGTCCGAATAGGAGTATGTATTCATATAAATAAGTCAACAAAATATATGAATAATGAAAATATTATCATGTATATTTTTTCATGTTTCTTACTTTAATGTAATTACATTCATTCCTTACGTTCTACGGACGGATAAATAATTTTCTAAATTTTCCTAAATTATTTTTAATTGGTTTTATATAAAATTTTTTTCTCTTATTTCATGATCTCAATATTAAAAAATATTTTTAGATTATTCTATAAAATTTTTTAATGAATCTCCTCAATATAATAGAGTCATGTATCTTTGTATAACAAAAATATAAAAAATTAAAATTAACGTAATATTCTCTTAGTTTTATTAAATTTATCACTTTAGCATTAATTACTTATTCTTAATATCATAATTAAATTTATTTTCTAATAATAAACTACTAATAAATTACTATCTAATAAAAATGGCTTTATATTATAATAAATATTAATATTATATTATATTTAATATAAATATTTATATCATATTTTCTTATACACGATTATAATCTTATACAAGATTACGATATTTTGGTCAGCAAAGCGATAAATCAGGATAGGATCATTGAACATCCTAGATATAATTCTTCCTAACTTCGGTTACGAGTTTGTTCAAAAAAAAAAAGAGTACAATTATTCTTTCATAATATTGATCTGTTAACTTTAGCAAAATCTTAAACAAAATCTTTTAACTTTATAACTTTATAAAGTGCGAAAATCTCTAGAAATTTTTCATATAATAAAAAGATATATATATTTAAGCATATAGACATTACATATTAATGTATTTTAAATATTTAAAGTAGTTATTAGTATTTATATTAGTCAGAATAATATGATATTATACGATTTTATATTCATATTATCTTCACATTTTGAAGATCCGAATTTCGGGGGTTGTATTAAATATGTAAGCTTACCTAGACTTCAGCACAGGTGTTTAGGATTAATCCAAGGCACGCCTACGAATGACTCACTATACAAAACTTCGGTATGCTTTTTTTCCTTTTTGTAGCGCGAAAGGGTGCCATGTTTAAACCAGTATCTGATAGAAATTTTTATAAGACTGATTAAATTTTTAAATAATAAAAGTCTTATAATTAAAAAAAATATTCGCCTTTTTAAGTTATATCTCATGAGACAAAATTTTTATTATTAAGATAACTTAAACTTTATTAAATCTTTTATTTTGCATTCTCGTTAATTTCGTTATAATTTTTTTCGTTAATTTTTTTTTCTAATTATATTATTTTTTTAATAGTTGATTAAAAATTATTCAAATATAATTCGATTTGAAATGAATTCGATTAAGAAATTTGCACGAAAAATAAATCTATAGTTGTTGGATATGTGACGGTCACATACCACGCCTCTTACTAGATCGGCATTCCATTGAACCCAATGTTATATTAAAGAGCTTAAGTGATTTCTTATTTGTTTTTTGTCTTT